TCATCTTCGCAAGGAGATCACAGCTGGTTCAAACAAGTGCAAGCCACGGATCACCAGAAGGGATGGTCCTTTGCTACAGATCCCCTCCCCACAAGTCCCCATTTCCTCAGAGGGGCCAGGACGGACTACAGACTCCTTCTCCCATGTTCTCATGGTAAGGCACTCCAAGAATGCTGGGAAGAGTCTTTGCTGGTACCCGAGTTGACTTGCTCAACACAAATGAGATAACGCGATAATCTCTTTACCCCTCATGAAATGCCCCGACCACAGGGGATGTTTCTATAGGGCTCACAAAGCTTCGGGAGCTTTGCTGCTTTCAGGAGGACAGCCAGCTTTGGCCACTGGGGCACACCCATCCATCAGTTTCATCTTCAAGAACACACAGCAGTTTTTGCTCTCCCTTGCCACTCACTTTTAAATAGGTTTGAGCAGAGTACTTAAATATATAGTCATGCACAATACTTCAGCATATATTCTGTAATTATATATATATATATATGATGCTTTTCAGGACTAAGATAAACACCAAGTGCAGGTGCACCTGCACCTACTGCAAGACTTTTTTTTTAAGTTGGTTTTTTTTTTTACAAAGTGCTGGTGTCTCCTTAGGAGAGATCACAATGAAAAAGCAAGTTATTCATAAGTCACCAACTTACATACTTCATTTCTATTTGCCTTTTCTCGTAGTTCTGCATCCTCATCTTAAGAATATTCAACAGCATACATTTAATTAGCAAAACAATTCCCATCTGTTCTGTGAGTCGATGCTGACAACTTTACTGCTAAAATACACGTATTTCTCTCAGTGCAACTGCGCTTAATCTGACTGGAGAAGAGCCTGTTGTGCTGGGAGCATCATGTCTAGCACCCAGGCTCTCCTGCTGCAGGGCTGCAGCCTGGCTGACACCAGGGGCTCCCAAAGGCTTCCACAGCTCCATCCCATGCCACTGCTGGCTCCTGGGACACCCAAAGCCACCTACACACCCTACACATGAGCCCCCAAAGGCAATTCTACAGAATCGCCAGTAGAGGATCCCTTGTGTTTGTTGGCTTCTGTTTTGACAAGTAACAGAGGAACACACTCAGGTGAAAATGTGAAAAAGGTGCCAGGGGCTGCGACAAGCAACAGAACACTGGAATTGAGAACCTAATGGGGGAAGCGGCAGTAATAGGCAGCAAAATATCATCCACCTGCAGGCATTATCTCCTAACCTTGGTCCTGCTGACTCCATCCTCTCCCCTGAGCCTGAGGTACAGGAAACCACATGCTCAGCTGGGAAAGCAGGATCTCTGGTTCTCCTACCGCAAAAAGCATCAGGGTGGGCTCATCTGCTCCAGGATCTCCCTGCTAGGAAGCAAGCCAGCCCTTCCTGCCACACGTCTCTGTCATGTTGCAGTAGTTATACACCAGTTTCCTCACCACCACAGTGCCATCACGATCCTGATCAGCTCTTGCAGATTAGGCATCTCCCTTCAGCTTACAACAGTAAGATATTAAAGAAAAAAATGAGTTAGCGTCTGCCCCGCTCAGACCTGCCTCAATCATGACCTAGAGGACAAGCCTAGTTCACTGTGGGAGATAAAAGGTAAGGTGATGTATCTTAGTCAAACACAGATGAATCCCAGCTTGGCAGTCTGAGAAAGGATGATCTAAAGGATGAACTGTTGAACTCGAAAGGAATGAAAATAAAAATAAAAAAGGCTAGGGAAAAGTAGGGACCAATCACTTAAACCAGGGACTTAGAGCAAAGAAGGAAGGTTTTCCCCCACTGATGTCCTAAATAAATGGCATACTGATTCTGCCCTGGAGCTGCTGATCTATGAAACATTTAGGGTTCTTCCACCCCTGCCTTTTGATTGAAATGGCTGCAAAGGGTTTTACTTGTTCTCGGGCAGCTGGACTTTCTTTTTCATGTAGAAGCAGCAATTCTGTTACACAGGGTGCTTGAACACTGCCACCATCAGCATAGGATGTAGCCTACCCCTCACCAAAAGGCAAGAGATCAAGAGGAACAAATTGGTTCATGCCACATTCCGTGAAATCCTCCCTGCAAGCAGTGCAAGCATGTAGGTAACAATCAGTAAAACACAAATCAATTAACCCAACAATAGTTCAGTAAATTGGCCCTGAAGCAAGTTAATTGAATTAACCAAGCAGGACAATAAAGCAGGATAACAGAAAAAAGTGAAGTCACTTAAATCAACACCAGGATGTCCTGGTTCCAAAAACTACTCAGCTGAAGACTTCACAGCCCTCTCCTCTCAGAAAAACTCATCACTTCATTGACAGCAAGCAGTGTCCAGGGAAATCAGGCTGGCTAGGCTGAAGTTACTATTCTGTTTACTCCTTCGAGTCCTGCTGCTCTACTTGAATCAGTTCTGCACCCCAGATCTGTACACTGTTCACTAGGTTATCCCCACCAACCCACTCAAGGGAACATCTGCAAGCCCAGACCTGCCAGGTTGAACCCAAAAGACATAATCCATGACTAGAGCAGAGCTGCAGAAATTACCTCCAGAGGTGTGTGCAACACTTCATTAACACCCAACCCCCATGTGGATGTGCTTCCTATTTAGTTATCTTCCATTAAATAATGTTCATTTTTCTGCCATCAGCCATCTACCTCCTCATGCATTTCTGCTTGTCTCAGATATGGCTATCAGCAAGTTTCAAAGGACACGAAAGGTCTGATTACAAATGTAATACAGCTTTACACTTTCCTCAGTTGAAAACTTTCCTCTTTTTAGCTCCCAACCTTTGCCCCTGCTTGATGCTCTCAAGCTCTGCAAATAAATCCACTTCTTTTAGTCAGAGAGTTCCCAGTAGGTCAAAAATGTGTAAAATATACTGTGCACTTAAGCATAAAATCATGTACTATAATAATCCACCAAAATAAAACCACTGCAGCTTCAGTCTTCAGGAGGTACCAACATACTAACCTTTTGTGAAAGAGGACAGAGAAGTCTAGAAAAGTCACAAGCTGCAAAAATTACTTTGCTTTCCAGGTCCCAGTTTAAAGCCAGAACTAAAACCCCTTTGCCCTTTTTTAAAAATAAATGTGAAACTTCCCAAAGATGCTCCCAGCCATCCAACCTACGGATCTAAGTTCACAGTATGGAAAGCCCAGTAGGGGGATGAAGTGACCCCTATGAATGCATTTTTGCGTTATGACTTGTTCAGACAGGCTACAAACACAAGTGTCTTCAGGCAGACCAGAAATCCAAAGGTACAACCCTCATTAGCCAAAATCCTGTCACTTGGATGCTACAAAAGCTGTGACTCCAGAATGCCATCGCTACCTTTACTGAAAGTACCATGCTGAAAGTGGCAGGCTTGGGTGGGCTGTTAGTTTTGATGATCTACGCTTCAAGGAAAACATATAAGGAGAGAAAACTGCATTGTTGCCTGTAACCTGCTAATGCCATGGGAGTTTGTCCTTCAAATGAAGGGAAGGTAAAGTCTATATGAAGTCTATATGAAGCCTGTGGGCATATACTTCTGTTCACAGGAGAAAAGGGCAGAGCAGGGAGTGGGAAGTCTCAGCACAGGGCCAAACCATCCTACTCTGACCCATTCTGCTCTCCAGAGTACCATGTGTACAGCATACCAGAAGCACCTTATCATGAAGAGAGACCACAGACGGCAGCAGCAAGATTACTCCTCCACCAGCAGCACGTGCTACATAGAAAAGAATTGCATCCCCCCCGCCCCCTTTTTTTTTTTAAAAAAGGTACATAGAATTTTCTACTCCTCCACCAGCAGCACGTGCTACATAGAAAAGAATTGCATCCCCCCCCGCCCCCTTTTTTTTTTTTAAAAAGGTACATAGAATTTTCCAGCTTGCTCAGGAAACCCTAAGCTTGTAACCACTTGCCTAGGCCATGTTAGTGCCCTTGCTAGTTACCACCTTCAGCCTCAAGCAACATCTGAAAAAAAGAGAAGATAACACTTTCCAAGCACACGAGAAAAAGTAATCATTTAACAAAATTTGAATTATACAGGCTTTACTAAAGAACACCTAAGAGTTACTAGCAATAAACCATAAACCTTTTTTTTGTTTAAATACATTATTTAATGAGTTTTCTTTAAGAAAGAGATACTTTGAAGCTCAAATTACAATAAAGTACAATCTTCTAGATCTACAGTAGGCAGTGCTATAAACATTTACCAAACCAAGTATTTTCATATTTCCTCCTCTGCAGTTGTTATTTAAGAAAAAGAACCACAAAAATCTCTTGTTAATAGTAATTCTGTCCTAACTTGGCTATTTCAAGCTAGAACAGAATAAGGACAACAAGCCTGTTACCACAGTCCTCTCCTGAAATACAGACCAAATGTCAAGCAGGAGCAAGATGCTGTCATGATCACACACTAATTCAGCTTTTTTTAAGACAGACAAGTAAAATGGAGCAGTTGATTGGAGGCAACTTTGGGAAAGGGTGTTGCTCCTTTCCCACAAGAATCACACAAAAAACTGGCCTTTTGCTATCAAACTGCCATTGAACTTATGTTCATTCAACATATTCGAGCAAATCTGAGTTTTACGTAGGTAGCTTTGAGTTCACTTTTCCACCTTCTCTTTGTATTTTCCCTCTTCTCTCTGTATCCAATGTTTTCCTTCTCCCTTTGCTTAGTGTGTTGCATCTCTTCATCATTTCTATCTTCAGCTACTCTATCCCAGTGGGATGGAGCCAGAGAACCACTCCTCCTCTTCAGTCTTCTGGCATTGTTAATAATACTGTGAAAAAGGGCAATTCAATAGTGCGGAATTAGAACAAAGAACAAAAAAAAGAAGAAACAGGCCGATTCCTCAGAGAGTTGTTTTGTACCTTTTAAAGGCTATTTTGCATGGTCTTGGAATTCTAGTACACATGAGCTTCTGGAGTTAGTGTAAAAATGTGATCCGGCTGTTCTGTTTGAATTGAGCAGCAGGCTGCTGACCCACAGCAAGCTACTGTTTGAAAGCTGCTGCTCAGCTATTCAGACATAAAAGCAGACATCAGGTGTAAATTTCATATTTATTATAACAAAAATTATGACATGTTCATTTGTGCATTCAGCTTTAATATAACTCTTGGTATGTAAATGTTCTACAGCAAATGAGCTCTATACAATCATGCTGGTTGTGGCAAGAGTAAGGAACACAAACAAAATGGGTCTGTAAAAGTAAGGAAAGAAAGAGACCAGAGGAAAAAAGTGGATTTCTTTAAATGGTCTATACCATCTTGGCTCTAGCTAACTTCTACACAGCCACTCAGTCCATTATGCTCCATGACCATGGCCCAAAGAGTCGCTTAAGAAAAAAATGTCAATTGTTCAGGTTGTGTCCTTTATGCCAAGGCTACAAAACATGTAAGCATCACTATACAACACTGAGCTATTTACAGGAATTTCCCAATCAACTGTTCTCTCAGAGAAAATTAGTGAATCTCAGTGACTTAAGTCACCTGAAAGAGTAAAGCAACTCCTAGGAGTTAGTCTCCGTATTCTACAAATGTCTATCATTTTCAAGACCAAAAAAGCCTTTTCTCTCAAAGAAATACAGTATTACAATATTACTTAAATCATTTAGCACTGGCTACTGCCCTGCTTTTCAAACAAAACGAACGAGCCATTTTAAAAAATATTACATCATCATCTGTTTCTCAGCAATATATTAAACCTTTTTATTTTTTTTTTAATTTTTTTTTTTTTAGTTTTTGTTTTTACACTTGATATGTTAAGGGAAGGTTAACTATTTTAAACTTTACCGGTCAAGCGTCCCTAGAAGAAAGTCGATGAATATTAAACCTAACAAAACTGAAAAGCTGCAGTTATCTGTAGTGGCAGGATAAGGAAAAGGAAGTATATAAAGGAATAGGATAAGGAAAAACCCCTGCTGTAATGCAAGCCCACTGGGTCCCGCACTCAAGTCTCCTTGTTGGTTTATTTCTCCGCAGTAAATAGAGCGGGTCATAGTGGTGTATCGTAATAGTCTGCCAGGTGGTCCATCGGGTCCTGCTGCTGTTGTTGCTGCTGCTGCTGTTGCTGCTGCTGTTGTTGTTGCTGTTCCTGGTGCTGCTTCATAATCTCCTTGACTTCTTCTTCAAGTTCTGGTGGAATGATGAACTGGTCATCGGGATCGGGTTGAGCTGGAGCGGCAAAGTAACCCCCCGTTTTTCTAAGCGGCGCATCCGCTGCAACCTCAATTAAGTTGTGACTCCTCTCCTGTGGCGCCACAGAACCGTTGCCCCGCCGCCGCCCTATCGTGCCCGTGCCAGAGTATTTAGCTTTCCTGGGAAGGCCGGGCTCATCTTCATTGGCACTGATGACGATACCTTCATCGCTGGCTTCCACTGGCACTTGGAGAAGCTGCTTCTCCTTGGCTCGGCTGCAGT